GGGATGCACCACATCAACCAGTCGGCACGGCCGCTCTCGGAGTCATCCAAGCGCAAGATCCAGCGTGTAGCCCTTGGTGCAATACGTTCGCCGAAGACAACAGGTGTTGCATGCTCCACAGAGGAAGAATGTGGATGGCCCGCCAGATGCAGGATGTGAGTACTCGGTGACGGCGTCGACTTCGACGAGGTGGCATCGTCCAGACACCGCAACTGTTCAGGGAGAAAAGGGTCCTCACGAACAGGAAGCCCACCAGCACGAAGGCGTTCGACACGCTTGATGGTCGCACGATATTCACGTTCAAGCCGAGTAACATCCGCCTCACATGCAGCTGGGACAGACATCGACGCTGCATGGACCGCGGAGAGCGCCACCGTGGCGGCAAGCGGCCATGGGAACATGGATGCCGCAGGTCGCGGCGAGGTGGCAGCGGGAGCGGACGCCCGCCCGTTGACGCCCTGCCTTGAGGGCAGGGCCTCGCACTGAGCCAAAGCGCCAGCAGGAATGGGCACAGGAGACACTGGATGGGGAACAGGTTGGCCAGCTTCATCAGCGCTATGTATCACATCGTCGTCACACGGGGTGGGAGGGACCAGGTCAGGGATGGGGGCCGCAGCATCTGAACTCAAACAGGAGGTGGACGATGAGGTGAGCACATCCCACTGAGGCTGCCTTCGGCGGATCGTCTGGACAGCGGGAGGAGGTTCCCACCGTTTCAATTTGGCTGAAGGCCTGGCCAGACGAGAGGTGCGGACGGCGGCCTCAACATAACCACGCAACTGACGGGGAGTCGACACTAGAGCACCTTGCCGAGCATAGTTGAAGACCTGGTAATAGACATAGAGAGCTTCGAAGTGGTCAGGGTGGGGGTGGGTAAGGCCAAGACGCTGAGCCAGGGGGCGAGGCAGGGCACGCTGTAGACCTTTGCAGACTGCCAGGTACAATTTAGGGCAGCGTAGATAATGTTGCAGCCGATCAGGGCCAGGGCATCCGAAACGACAGCGAAGTTTGCCCCTCGGGTGGATAATCCTATGTGATGTCAGCCATCCATGCCCCCAAGTCCGTAAGGCTGCCATCGCCCAGCTTTGCGGAACCAATGCCAAAAGCTCCTGAATAGCGGGCCAGTGGATCAGGTTGAGGAAGGGGAGGTAAGCTGTGAATAACGGGGTTAAGTGGCGAATCAGCATGGCATGTAGAGGTTTGTGCGTACACATGTTCTGACCCAACGAGCGGGCAGCAGCACGTTGCAGCTTGGGCCTTCGTGTCGTAACCTGAGCTTCCTCACGCATGGCAGAGCGAGCGGCGACGAGTAGGGGCTCTTGAGACCTCACGTGGACCAGCTCAAGGTGTTCGACGAACGCAGGGGATTTCCAGAAAGATGGATAAACACGGGAGCGATCCACAGCAGCCAAGGGGATATCATCAAACTTCCCTTCCACAACCTCTCTGTGCCAAAGAGAAGCCGTTTGTCGCAGTAGCCGTAAGTATTCCTCAAAGCCCTGGAAGGTGTGAAAAGCAGCACGTAGGTGAGCTGCAGTAGCATGGGCAGCCCACGATGGAATCTGAGGACCACCCCAGGCCGGGAGCTCCAGGATCGATTCGTTCGAAAAGAGGCCAAGAGGAGCACGGAGAACTTGGGCGATGGCACCACGCTCAATGGGAAGAAACCATTCGGGCATAGGGAGGAATTGGGCTACATACGCCAAATAGGGGTAGACCCGCGTGCGGTACAAGATACAATTCGTACAGACTGACGCAGCCCCACGTCCCAACATTCGAGAGCGAGATCGTGCCTTCATAAGCGGGCCCCTCCAGTTCATGTCGACCGTCGCATCTGGGCCCAAGATCATCCCAAGATAAAGCAACCACCCCTCAACGGCAAAGCCTGACCAGTCACTCGCGATAGAAGCCAGCTGGGTCTGGGTCATGGTTTTCAGGGTTTCTGTCATGCGGCCGACGAGAGGGACCAGGGTGCACCTGCTGATCTTAATCTTGAGGCCCGCAATCTTTTCCATGACACCGAGGACCCGCACCAGGATGCGCAGAGAGGCTAGCTCATACAGGACAGCGCCTAGATCATCGGCACAGGCACGGCATATCCCCAACTTACGTTGCTCAATACTCCGCTCGAGGTCGGCCAACATGGGGGAGGAGGCGAGAGCGTACAAAGACCCCGAGAGACCACAGCCTTGGATGATGCCCGAGCGGATCCAGAAGATGGTCGAGTAGCATCCCCCATCCAGGACCACACCTTCAACAGCCAAATACATCCAGCCCACAAAAGCGAGAATCTCGGCGGGGAGCCCAAGAGAGCCCAATAGCTGTAGCAGGAAGGACTGCGACAAGCTCGGGAAGGCCTGCCCGTAGTCGAACCCGACGAGGACAGGGTAACGACGCACAGCTAGGGGATGTTGCGATGCAAGCCGTGCATGGACATCCAGCTCAAGCACGTTGTAGCAAAAATTTCGTCCTCTAATGAAGCCTCTCTGGGAAGCAGGTGCAACGGCTTGGACGACAGGCTCGAGGACCCTGTTCATGACCGAGCTCAGGATCTTAACGTCGGTGTTACGCAGCCCCAGGACCCGTATCTTATCGGGAGACCGAGAACAAACCCCAGACGGCAGATCTGAGTCATCAGCACCTTTGGGGAGGAACGCCTGGAGGGTGACGCTGGCAGAGGCAAACAACGACTGACCTTGGCATAGCCATCCGAACATTCTGGCCAGGTGCTGGGCGCCGTAGTCGCACGCCGACCAGGCCGCATAAGGCAGCCCGTCGACACCAGGAGCAGAGTGACGAGCACGCCTGAGAACCTTACGAAACATTGGGGTCAGAGGACAGTGCAGGTCGATGTCAGAGGCCTTGGTGAGGAACCTATCGAGGTACATCTGGGTCATGACAGGGTGGGGCTCTTTCTTGGAGAAGACAGGGGTCCAGTAGGCCGCCAGGGCCGCAGTGCGTTCCCGAACCTCTGAGATGGGGCCCTCAGGAGTATTGACCGCGGACAGTATCAGGCGCTTCGAAAACGGGGCCCATATGGAGGCCTTCCTTTCCATAGCTCGCAAGAGCGTGGCCGAATGAGGCCGCCAGGCAGATGAGGAGCCTGAAGGAGCACGATCAGCAGCAGCAGCAGCAAGCTCTTTTTCGAAGACCAGCCGATGTACTCCAGCGGCCCACTGCTCGAAGGACGGGGCGTGGCGCAGCGAGACGACCTGGCCGTCGACCGTCAGGGCGTCGGCGGCGTGCTGGGAGGTCTCGATGAGCTTGAGGGCAAGGGCAGCGTCTTGACGCCATACCGCTCGTGCTATCCCACGAGCAACCAGCTGAAGCGTCCCAGGCAGGTCAGGGGCCGAGAAGAAGAGGATGTCGCGGGCCTCCCTGGCGGCCTCCTTCATCATGTACTTGTAGTGCTCTGTAGCCACCGGTGGGCTCCATCGGAGCAGATCCTCATCACCATCAGCAACCATTCCTCGGAGTCGGCGCTGGAAAGCAACAGAGGTGAAGATGTGCTTGGGGATGGGTCGCTCAGCAGCGGGACGCACACCCCGAAGACGCAGCCGAATCGAGAGAGCAGCATGATCCGAGATGCCCATGGAGCACAGGTGCTCAGGCGTGTCCACGGTGTTAACCTCAGTCATGAGCTGACACATCATCCAGCCTGGCAACACTCTAGTTGCAGGGGGTGGCAGGCGCCCAGGGCAGCGGGTGGTGTGCGCGCAAGTACATACGAACGAAAATACATCACAACGCCACGCTGCGTCTCGAAAAAACTATCAAAACGCTTTGGTGGACACGCCAGGACCAATTCCTATCGATAAATGCATTATTTCCCACGCGCGGGATGTAGCTTCTGACAACATGGCGATATGATCGCATACAGGGTGAACCTCATTATCAAAAATGTACAAAAGCGGTGGCTGGCGGAAGAGGCGCAGCAGCACAATGTGTATACTAGCTTGGCATCGGGGCGATGACGTACATCATCATCATCAGCATCATCGTCATCATAATCGTAACCATCATCCGCATCATCATCACAAGAATCCATAATCATCATCCTCATCCTCATCCTCATCCTCATCATCATTATCCTCCTCCTCCTCCTCCTGCACAACTACACGGGAACATTGGTAGATGGCGGGAGCAAGAGTATCCAAACTCGCGGATGGAGCACTGTTTCTATCGACGCCGCAGCGCCAACGCCAGTCGCCAAGAGACTCCCAGCGCATGTAGATATACGAGGTGGTCCAGGAAGTCCAGCGCGGCCCACGAGATAACCCAATGGATATCACAGATACTCCAGCGGATATTCAGGCCTCCACTCCCGCATGTCACCGTGAAGCGTGCACGACGAATGCCAGTGGGCGCAGGCGGAATGCAGGGGCAGCCCTGGAGGGAGGCGGGCATGGGAGGAGGCAGGGAAACTGGGTCGGGGGAGAAGGCGACGAGGGAGGCGGGTTGGAGCAGGAACGAGAGGAAGGATGATATGTAGGGATGCTGCTGAAAGTTATTTCGAATTCATTGTCACCCTGCTCCTCATCCTCGTCAGCCTCATTCCCACTTCCGCCTCCTTACCAAGATTTCCTTCACCCTTCCGCCCTCCTCCTGGGCAGCCTTCTCCTTATCCTCGCCGACCTTCGTCGCTCCTCGTCCTCGCTCCTCGTCCTCCTCGTCCTCCTCGTCCTGCTCCTCCTCAGCCTCGTCGTCCTCCTCCGCCTTGTCTCATCTTCCCAGCTGATGGCAAATCGAAGATGCAAGTGCAACTGAGAACTGGCTTTTCTTCTCGACCGAACGGCGGACCGCTAAAGCATCGTGCAATCGCACCCCGCGATTACCCCATGGGTCCATTCTCGTGCGCTCATTTGCCACGCTCATTTGCCACGCGCCCTCCCATGCCACTCATCTTGATCTTCCCTACTGCCCGATGCCCCGTCCTTTTCATCCTCCGCCCACTCCCCTTACTACTGGCGCGCTCGCGCACGCCCTCCCCGTGAGCTTATCTAAGCTGGGGCGCTCTGGAGGTACTTCTGCCAGAGACCATAGTGCGTGCCGCGCAGAGCTGGGAAGGCGTCCAGCAGCGCGGAAGACACCGCACGGACCTGATCTTTCTCAGAATCCGACTTCGGAGGCAAAGCCCACTTCAGGCCAGTCGAGCGCTCTGGCGACGAAACCGACAAGATGTACCCTGCTGGCAAGCACACAATGTCACCAGGCTTGCACACGCAAAAGAAATTACCCGCCTCAACTGCCTTGCCTGCAAGCTCACTGCCTGAGAGATTTGAGATCTCGGCAATCTTAGCCGAAATGGGATCAGCCGCATTGAACTTGACACCGATTATGACAAGGAGCCCAGACAACACCACGCGGACCTCCGCCAAACCGTACGCTGCAGGTGCCACATTAAGATATCCCTCGCAGTGGGACCAATGGCTAAGGTCAAACAGTGCGGCCATCATGTCATTGTACTCCTTATCGTGGAACACCGGGCGCTGGAACAGATCAAGCTTCATCGGGGTCGTGTCCTTCAGCGTGTTCCTCAAGAACTTGGTGACGGACGGGTTGCTGATCACGGCAGCCGTGCTTGGCTTCGAGCTCTTCTGCGCCAGATCGGCGAACCACGTGATGAAGCCCTGGAAGCCCTTGTTCTCATCGATCTTCTGGATCGTCTGCTCGCTCGCGGTGTACTTCACGCAACCCCCCTCCGAGTCCCTGAACTTGAGGGTCGCATCGAGAAGGCCATGGTCCTTCCGCGCATTGGACACCCACGCCGTGTTGTACATGTAGGACATGGCCGTGCCAACACCGTCCTGTTTCACCACCTCGGCAGAAACGTTCATCTTCGCCCTCGCCTTCTCAGCTTTCGATGCCTTCATGGCCCCCTGGTGGTGCTTCTGGACCAACTGGCGAATGGTTGTGAGACGCTTCCTAAGCAAAGCCACCTGGCCCTGTGGGCCCAGGAAGTCCTTGCACATCGTGGCGAAAGCCACCTTGGCGTCGGCGATGTTGATAGAAAGGGATTTGCTGCGTACCTTCTCGCTGACCTCCTCCAGGTGGTCGCTGAGCTTCTTGAGCACGACCATCCTGGCATCGTCCATATCCTGGGGAGGGCGGGCATCGGCATCAGCAGCATCAGCAGGAGGACAGCCAGGAGGGGGAGAACAAAGCAAAGACGACTCGAGGGTGGAGTGGGAGGGTGACGAGGGCGAGGACGAGGCCCAATGACCTTGGAAGCCGCGTTGGCCGCATCCACCGCGAGCTTGAAGTCGGAGGGCATATCAATGCCCTTGAACATCACGTCCTTCACGTGGGTAACCATGCTCTCGCACTCAGGGGAGGCGCCGTCTGCAGCGGTGTCCAGCTTCGCCGCCCACTTGCGGTGCTCGTTCTCGAGGTCGTAGACGTTGAGATCCGCATGCTGGGCGGAGCTGCCCTCATCAGTGGGCGCGTCGTACTTCTCAGCCTCCACGAGCTCCTCCATGTGGAGTGCCTCGAGCTCCTTCTGCGCCCTCTCCTGAGCGGCGAACCGCTCGGTAACCGCCTGAATGCCAGCCTCGGAGGAGTCCAGGCGGCTGTCGTCCTCCATGATGTTGGAGATGTACTGCGGGTCGATGGCAGGGCCCTCGGACGAGGATGCAAGAACGGCCGCTGGGCCGTTGGCGGACCGCTCCTGGGTGGCTCGTTGATGCACTCTGCTCGCCATTGCCATCGCCTCGGCCAGCTCATCCGAGTTCTCGGCCATGGTAGCGCTACGGACGCCAACTTCGGTGAAGGAGCCCTGGACGTCGTCGTCGACGATGCCAATATACTCGCCGATGTGCCACTCTTCGCCGAACTTCTTAGTGATATCTGCGGTAAGCAAGGCTTTCCTCCAGTTGGTGAGAAGATCCCTGTCGCCAAGGTCGGGGTGCTGCTTGAGCTCATCCTTCTTCCACACGCTGAACGGCCTCCAAAGGACCCTCCTCCTCTTCTCTGTGCCAGTGACGTTCCGCTCCTGCTGGACCACATCGACCTGGAAGTTCCTCTTCTGCCCGCGCTGGCTGCCACCTGCTTTTTGTGCAATCCGCTTATGCTTCCTATAGAATTCGATTGATTCGTCAGGCGACAGGTTATCGTACCAAGGCTTGAGCTGTTTTTCTTTCTTCCATCGCTTTGCAAGGCCCTTGTACGTGTTGTTGCAGATCAGCTCGACTGGGTTGTTCGGAAGCTTCGTGGCAGTCTTGCGCGCGCCAGACGCAGATAAGTCTTTGATTGGGCACTCCTCGTCGCACTTGACACAGACGAAGTTCGGCGGCAAGCCACTTGAAGACCAATCCAGAGCCTCCTCGCCAAAGATATCCATACCACGAGCCGAAGCCTCTTCCTCGGGCGATTGCGCGGGGGTTCCTGCCTCAGCCGACTGCCCTGGGGCCGCCGCGTCGGCCATGGCGTGGGCCGCGTAAAGCTGGGGCTGCAGGTGACAGCGTCACGCTGCGGTAGCGGCGCAAACCTCGAGGCCGAAAAACTCGGGGGGGGGGGGGCGCAATGCGACGATGGGGGGGAGGATGACGAAGGGGAGGGACACGTTAAGGTTGAGGAAGGGAAGGGGATTTCGACAATGGTGAACTGCACGTGTTTTCAAGAGCGTTGTTTCCAGGAAATCCCAGATGAGGCGCGACGGCCGCAACGCATCTACCCCGAAGCTGCGCTGCCTGGCCAATGAGAGGCGGCAATCAGCATTTCAAAATCCCGAGAAGGCGAAGTACAACCTCGAGAACTCGCAGTGATTGGTCCGTGCCAACACCCCCTGACTAATCCCGAGACGTTCGGGATAAGTAACAATCGACGGATTGCTACGGAGCGGCCTGGTGCCCCCCCACGGCGGCACGGCCCGAAGAACCAAGTCCACATCCTGCTGCCTCCCTCCTCCCCCTCATCGCTCACCCCCCGCCCTCCATCCCCTCCCGCTCCAGTCGCCCTCCGATAGCTAGCCCCAGACCCCCCTCCCTCATCATCACACTCCCGAGCCCTCTCAGGGCAGGAACGCAGAAATTCAGTCTCCGCGAACGGTGATGCTGAACCAGGGATACTTCTCCACCTCGCATGCGGGGGGAACCCAGATCCCGTGCAAGGCGGCTGGCGAGTGCACGAGCACGATGCCCCCCACGATTGGGTACGCCTTGTCCTCGATAATGTACTTTACCTGGGAAGCCGTCGGCGTCCTAGGCAAGAGCCGAAGGGATTGGCTAATCGCGGGTGGATAAGGCTGATGACAACGACGGGCGTGGGCGAGGAGGACGAAGACGGGAATGGGGACAATATGATTATGGAGAGAATGGGGGCGGATTTGCCCCGACAGTTTTTGCCACCATGAATTCTGTGCTCGGGGTGAGTCGTTCGGGCCCCTCCGCTTTCGGTCGACCGAGAGCTGAGGGGCCCGAGCGACTCACCTCCGAACGAAAAACTCATGATGGCAAAAACTGCCGGGGCGAATCCGCCCAGCCTGCGGGGCTGAAACAATGCAAAGGTCCCGCGATGCTGGTACACGACCACGATGGCCCACTTCGCGAGGAAATCCCACATCCGGAGGCAGCAGAAGTAGCACGCCTCACAGCCGCACTCGCGGCACCTCTCGCACTTCATCTTGCACGGTTCTTCAGCCGTCCACGGCCTGCAACGAACCACCGCTGAAGGAAAGTGCTGCTGGTCGGCATTACCGATGAAGGGGGGAGGACGAGCGAGCGTACGCGAGCAATACAGACTGTGACCAACCCAAACAAATCCCACCAACCCATTTAGGGCGCGAGGTCGTTTAAGGAGCTCGTTCTTCCAATTTCACATCTGGCCCCCCCTGCAATACCCTGCAAAGCCCCATTGCAACGATCCTGCATGCTGCTGCGTTGCATTTTGCCGCGTTGCATTTTGCTGTCGAGACCCTGCAAAGGCTCCTGCAAGGACCCCGCAAAGACCCTGCTGGACTTTTCAAACGCCTCTGGACAGTCAGCCGCACCTGCACGAAGCAGGAGGAGGGCGAACCCCAATGGAGACGAGGGCCGAAATTCCCCCACCCACAGGCGGCATAGAGCATGGCGAGGAGGTGGAGCCTGCGGGGGCGCGGACGTCCATAAAATAGGAGATGATTCCTTGATATCATAAAATGGAAAATGTCTATTTTACCGAGCTCGCTGCGAAAGCAAAGCTTGACATGCTATCGGACATGCTGATACTCCTCCCTGATCAAGGCATCCCACCGACGCTCTTCCCAGGATGGGCTGGCGGGGATACGCGAAGCGTCAGAACTTCGCCTCCCTGACAACCATCCGCTGCATACCGCCATACTGCAACAGCGGCATTGCCATGGCTAGATCAAGCAAAGGGCGCAACAACAAGAGAAGATAGCGGGCACCTGGCTGCGCCATACTGCTATAAGACTCGCCGCACTGGACGAGCAGCTTCGCCCCCTCGGTCATGGCGTCCTCGGGCTGCGGCAACAGCACCTGGGGGTCGTTCCCGATGTTCGTCATGTAGACCTTGGCCTGCTGCACGACCTAGCCCGCAAGTAAATCAAACAATTGGAGCGCGCGGCGTGCAAGTGGGATGCGAGCACCGACTTTACATTGTAACATGCACACCAAACGCAACGCTGACATGAGCTACAACTGACACGGCACGTGGAAGCACGGAATCTGCGGTCACATGGGGGCGGGGGGGAGGCAGAAAAAGGCGGCATGAGAGCCTGGGTCTCGTGAAGCTTGACGATGAAATCCCTGACCTGCCAGCGACTACTGCCGCTGCAACCTGGGGGCCGCACCCAGAGGGGGATGCGAGGGGGAGAAGGCGACGGCGGCCCCTGCCGCGCGTCGGGCGTCACCGTCGGCAACGTGCTCCTGACTTTTCAAACGCAGTTGGAAAGTCAGCCGCACCTGCACAAAGCAGGAAGACAGCGAAGCCCCTTGGGAGACGAGGGCAGAAATCCCCTCACCAACAGGCGGCATAGAGGACGGCGAGGAGGTGGAGACAGTGGAGGGGCGGACGTTCAATTGTCCGCCACTCCAGGGAGGGGTTAGCCACAGCATGTCGTCTTATTCGAATAAGACGAAATGCAACTAATTATGGAGGTCGCTGCAGGCAGTGGAGGATAGCGAGGAGGAGGAGGAGGAGGAGGAGGCAGTGCAGGAGGATGGCGAGGAGGAGGCAGTGGAGAGGGGAGGGGCTGAGGACAAAGTGATTTGCAACCCCTACGCGGCCACCATTGGGGCCGAACCAGTTGTTTGTCCCGAGACTCCAACCGAAGTCCCACCGCGGACCATAGCCGAAAATATCCTGACGAAAGCCTGGAGCCGATAGGTATGACTGCTTCACGTGCCTCAATAATCCACGCGCGTCCTCCCGAAGAGCAGTGGCCAAACCCTGCGCAACGCACTGGACGGGCTTCTTCTCGGCTGTCAACCCCAACCATTTGGGCTCGCGGGGAAGCGCGGACGACGCACGAATGCACTGATCGAAATGCTGTTGGTAATCAGCCTTCACAACGTGGTTGCCGCACAGTGTGCACCACATCTCACCCTTTCCCTTGTCATATCCAGCCGGCTTGTCGTACGGGCCCTGGCCCGCCATGCTGGTAGATGATGGCAAAGTTGGATGGGGCGTTCGAAGGGCGGGGCTGAACTGATGCAACTCGGAACCTGCGAGCCGAATGCCTACCAGTCTCAACATCCGAAAATGCAAAAACAGAGATCGGAAAGTGCGGCACGTCGACTGATTTCGACGCGCGCACCTCTGGAAATGCCACAAAACGCTTTCGAATCGCAAACTAATCTCGAGCAGTTGGCGACCCCCACCGGCCCGAGTGAATCGGAAGTTTCCGGCTCGAATCGCACCTGAATCGCACCTGAATCGCAGCCAACTGGCCTGGCGATTCGTGTGAATCGCACCTTTCGCACCCGAATCGCACCTGAATCGCAAGTGGATTCGCACACAGGAAGCCATGGGGGGCCCTCGGGCGGACAGGACGCCAAGTGTAAGCTTATGACAGTCATCGAATCTTAAAATCGACCTAAGAGGGCCCCACGAGGCTCCAGGAAGCCCCCAAGAACCCCCAAGACGGCCCAGATGAGCCCAAGATGACCGAATCTGGGCTCAAAGAGCTTACAGACGGCCCAAGAGGCCGTGTTTTGTTGTCTCAGGACCACCTGAAAAGCTGAGAGCCGCTCGAAGATAAAACTTTTGCTTGCTACCTCTAAGGGTCAAGATTCTGCACCTGGGCACTGGGCACTCCTATCGGAGCGAGCGCACACGCTCGCCCACCGCCTCCCTCCTCCACCCACCCCGCCCATGCAGTCAATCTCAGCGTATATCCCTGGCAAGAGCATCGACATCAGCTGCTGGCGGTACATATCCTTTGTGATCCTCTTTATCTCCAATAGCTGGACCAACATCCCACCACAACTTAAGCCACGCAGCACAGTGCTGCCAGCTTGGATTGAGGTCCACCTGGCAGGACATATTTTCACATACTGTGCCACTGCTGCAACCGCCCCCCTCCCACCGTCATCGAAATGCCTGCGGATCTGCTGAACTTGCCGCCGCCGACCCCCTACGGCCCTGCTTGGGGACAAGACCCCCATGGGCGATGCTGGGCATGCCAGCAGGGCCGAGCAAGGGAGTTGGCAGGACTTTATTCGAGGGATCAGCGACACATGAAGTGGGACGAATAGAAACATGAACACGTGGGTGACACCCCCGTCCACCTGCCGATACTTAAAACACTTGACGTGGTCAGCATTCTGACGCGTCACGTACCCGCGCTGCTTGCCGCTCTGGTGGGAGCATCCGTCGAAGAACACCCTGCATGGCCCGATGTCCACCCTGAACGGTGCTCCACTCAGGCCGCGGCCAGCCGCGGGGGCCACCAGCATGCCAAGGTCAAGTAGCGGTGCTGGCGCTGCGGGCACTTCACCCAATGCGTCCTCGATTGGAGCGCCAACTGGCGCGTCCTCTATGGCGGGGGGTGCTGCAGGCAGAGGCGTGCCCTTGAGGAAATTGATGAAATCTGCATCGCGAAGCGCTCTCACGTCAGGGAAATCATTGATCGGGCCAGGGGTATCAGACTCAAGCAGGACTCTGTAGTAACCGTGCGGCATTGCATGCACAATTCTGTGGAAACCTTTGTCGAAAATGAACGTCGCATCGAGAAGGGCTCGGGGGTAAAGCGCACTTGCGTAGAACAGTGATGGCCAGAACACCTTCTCCGATTCCCCATCATAGAAATCCAAGGCATCCCTGTCCCCAAGTTTCCACCCTTGGTGCAAAAGTTCATTGATCAACGCGAGCTTGGACCGCCTTGGCATCGCGCCAACACAGGGCGTGCGCAAGGCCGACATAGGGTACTGGCACGACATACCCCCAACCCATCGCACGTGGTCAGGGTTCAAAATGAACTCGTCC